TGAAAAATGGAAGCAGGTCTTCGTTTTTTATCTCTAAGTGTTAATGCAATTTTTGTTTTAAATCATGCAAAACAATAGATTTATATATGGCAGCCTGTTTCCGACACTGAATAAAAAATATAAAAAGGTAATTACGACTTTCTCACAATTCTGACTTGACTCGAAATTGCAAAATTACGTATCGCAATTCTGACTTTTTTTCTCAGAACTGCGTGAATTCCCCTCAGAATTTAACCTTAAAACTCGTAATTGTGAGTTTGTCTCACAATTCTGAGAGAAAAAGTCAGAATTGAAAAAAAAAAAAAGTTGGAATTGTGAGATAATAAACTCGTAATTGAGAGGAAAAAGTCTTGATTTGTGGGATATAAACTCGCAATTTAGGAAAAAAGTCAAAATTGTGATTATATAAACTTGCAATTGCGAGAAATTAAGAATTGCGAGAAAAAAGTCAGCTTTGTTAGATATAAACTCGTAATTGCGAGAAAAGAGTCAGAATTGTGTGAAAAAAGTCTGATTTGTGAGATGTAAAGATGTAATTGTGAGAAACTTTTTGAGAAAAAAAATTGCGAGATATGAACTTACAATAGCAAGAAAAAAATCTGAATTGCTAGAAAAAAGTCAGATTTGTGAAATATAAACTTAAAATTAGTGGTCGATCGATATATCGGCCGATATTTGGCATTTTTCAAATATCGGCATCGGCCGATACGTTTTTCTGTTTGGCTGATGTGTTCGAGGCGGGACTTTTATTTGACGGCGCTGAAAACAGCAGCGCCTGAGCAGTGTTGCCAATTTAGCGACTTTGTCTCTAGATTTAGCGACTTTTCAGACCCCCCTAGCGACTTTTTTCCATAAAAGCGACTAGCGACAAATCTAGCGACTTCTTGGGCAAACCTTAGAGAGTCTGTGTGTGAGTCTGTGTGAGTGAGAGTGGGTGTGTGTGAGTCTGTATGAGAGTGAGAGTCTGTGTGTGAGTAAGTGAGAGTGTGTGTGTGTGAGTCTGTGTGAGAGTGAGAGTCTGTGTGTGAGTCTGTGTGAGTGAGAGTCTGTGTGAGTGAGTGAGAGTCTGTGTGTGAGTGAGTGAGAGAGTCTGTGTGTGAGTCTGTGTGTGAGTGAGAGTCTGTGTGAGTCTGTGTGTGAGTGAGAGTCTGTGTGTGAGTGAGTCTGTGTGAGTCTGTGTGAGTGAGAGTCAGTGTGTGAGTCTGTGTGTGAGTGAGTGAGAGTGAGAGTCTGTGTGTGAGTCTGTGAGAGTGTGTCTGTGAGTCTGTGTGAGTGAGAGTCTGTGTGTGAGTGAGTGAGAGTCTGTGAGTCTGTGTGAGTGAGCGTCTGTGTGTGAGTCTGTGTGAGTGAGAGTCTGTGTGTGAGTCTGTGTAAGTGAGAGTGTGTGTGTGTGAGTCTGTGTGAGAGTGAGTCTGTGTGAGAGTGAGAGTCTGTGTGTGAGTCTGTGTGAGTGAGAGTCTGTGAGTCTGTGTGAGTGAGCGTCTGTGTGTGAGTCTGTGTGAGAGTGAGTCTGTGTGAGAGTGAGAGTCTGTGTGTGAGTGAGTGAGAGTCTGTGAGTCTGTGTGAGTGAGCGTCTGTGTGTGAGTCTGTGTGAGTGAGAGTCTGTGTGTGAGTCTGTGTAAGTGAGAGTGTGTGTGTGTGAGTCTGTGTGAGAGTGAGTCTGTGTGAGAGTGAGAGTCTGTGTGCGAGAGTCTGTGTGTGTGAGAGTCTGTGTGAGCGAGAGTCTGTGTGAGCGAGAGTCTGTGTGTCTGTGTGAGCGAGAGTCTGTGTGAGCGAGAGTCTGTGTGTCTGTGTGAGCGAGAGTCTGTGTGAGCGAGAGTCTGTGTGAGCGAGAGTCTGTGTGTGCGAGAGTCTGTGTGAGTGTGTGTGTGTGTGTGTGTGTGTGTGTGTGTGTCAACAGACAGGTGGCAATTTATTTCCTGGTTAAAAGGTTTTTAAAATTTTAATAGCTCATAAATCTCTCGTTATACTATATTATTACCAAATCTTGCATTCAATCTTTTTGTCAACTTGTTTTTCTTTCCAAGTAGCACAAGTTTTGTATTTCTTTTTGGATCTGATTGATCTTAGCCCTCATTGATCTGAACTTGTGCTCCTCAGTTTATGAGCCAAAATGATCCACAAATAATGCTTTTTCACTCAAAAACTGAGGTGCATGAGCTCAGATCAATAAGGCCTATCCCTAGTGAAAAATAAATATACAAAAATCATACTGCAAATACATTTACATATCTATGTACTTAATAAAAATACCCTGCAATTGTACTTTTGGTATACTAATGTGGTATACTTAAAGTCAGCCAAATTGGAACAACTAATTTTGTACTTAATGCACTTTAATTGTGCGGAAGTCCAACTAAAGATATACTGAAGTATATTTGATTGTGCTAAAGTGGAACTATTGCATGTACACTTTAAGTATCTTGCATTTAAAGACCGATATTATTGAAAGATCATACAGTCCTCATCAATAGTGACATTAAAACACATTTTAAGCTTAATATTAAGAAATGTGCAATAATGGATATTATTATAACATAGTATATAGCATAATGAGAAATTCATAAGCAATTTTCTTTTGTAGGCCGAACATTTCTGACCAAGAAAAAAAAATCCCAAAATTATTTTTCGAAGTTGTTGTAGCCTGTGTGATTAAAGTCAGTAAATTTTAGTCTAATGCAATAACATTAACTAGTAGTGCTGGGTAAAAAATATTGATTTCACGATTTTAATCGATTCTCATTTTTATGAAATGATATTGATTCATAAATCCTGAGAATAGATTAGTCGAGCCTATCAGATAATGAATGCAACATTGTAGCGCCTCTCATCCTATAAATCACAATAAGCTTTTGTGATTTGTTACTTTTGATATGAAACAAAGTCTCAGATTTCAAATTCTGTCCATTTTATTACAATATTCAAATATTAAATGCTGTTTTGGTGCTGTTTAATGTGAAGTGACAGATCGCTGTGAAATCATCGTCTCCTCCGCTTTAATAGCTGTTACAGCACGAAATAAACATGAATGAACATCCGAAGGTGTTAAAAGAAAGAGTACAACGTACTAAAATCTGTATCTGTCTCATGTAATCGTTAAATCAGTGTTTCAAACGTGGAAGGACGACAATAGCTTGTAAACAATGTGTCACGTAACGTCACATTTAACACAGAAAAACACATTTGGTGACCATGAACTACAAAAATAAACTCTAGAGAGGAGCATTTTGCTAAATTTGTTTTAATTTATTATACTTTTATATATAAATCGTCAGTTTGTTGTTTTACACACATGCACACAGACATAATTTCATACAGGACATAGTCGTGAGATGCAAGAAACATAGACATATGGCAAGAAATCTGTAGACACGCCCATAACAACAAAAGACAATACTTTATTGAATAAATTATATTATATTTCTGATAAGAAGTGTGCGCTGCGAACGCGAGCGTTTTTGACAATCGTTTCTGTCCAGTCCGCTCGTTTTATCGCGTTTAACCACAGCTGTCGTTGGTTTTTTGTCTGGCAGTGGCAGCAGATATGCGATCAAATTTCTAATTTGAGGCTGTATTACGTCGATTCTGGCACCCAACATCACAACAAGATGATATTTTAAGCTCCTCATGTAGCCGAATCTGCGCTGGTTTGAATGGGCCGCCTCCAGTTTCCGCTTTGTTATGCTGCCTCCAGCTAGCCCTGTGACGTCGCTGACTCTAGTTACCTGTGGTTGGCCTGGCCGTGCGTCACTCAGAACACAACAGGCCAATCAGAAGAGAGGCTCATGAATATTAATTAGACAGGCCAAAATCAACCTGTTCTCAGCAGAGCTCCTGAGAGAGGAGCTGTAAAAATATACTGAGATGGTTTTTGGTACTTATACTCACACAAGGACATCAAAACCTAAAATAAAACTCCAGAAAGGTGTAAAATATGTGACCTTTAAAGTTCGTATTATAACTTTAATATTACAAAAACTCTTGAGTATATTTCAAGTGTTTGTATACAAATCAGCAAATGTCAACCTTCCACATTATTGACTCTCAGGTACATTTTAGAGCATTCGTTGAGAGATTATTTTTTTTTTCCCTTGAGAAAATTTGCCATGTTCTGTACCTGATATATATCCAAAATAATCAATATCGAATCGCAAGCTTGTGAAGGATAATCGAATCGAATTGTGAAATTTGTGTCAAAACCCAGCCCTATTAACTAGCATTTACAAGAAAAAGAAAATCCTCTCCGGGGTCAAAGTGACCTGAACACAGCATGAGGGCTAAGAAGGTTAATAGTCAGGTTTAATTTACACTTCCAGACGCTACAGGATCTTCACACGGCTTTTCTGCATTTGGGTCAGTAAGTGTAATCCAGACAACACACTTTAGTGTCTGACAGCAAATCCTGTTCATTTGGTCGAGATGTTCATGTTCTCAAGATCTCTAGAGCTCGTGTTCCTTCCTGAAGATGATTTATGGTTCAAATGAATGCTAAACTGATAGATGTCACTGTATGCGGTTGCATATTGATGAAACGGATGTCTTAATGCTGATCCGGTTAAAGCAGAGTTGAGGGACTGACGGTGTTGATCAACAATCAGGCATGATTCGGATCAGCTTCAGCAGGCTGTGCCGCTCTACCGTGGGTTTTAACTAATTTATTTCACATTCACGGGCTATCGTTTCTCTATGTGCCGTTATTATCGCTCATATATGTGTGTTTGTGTCTGGTCTCCTCCAGCTTGCAGAGTACCGGCAGAGGAAAGCTCAATCCCGGTTGCATATTGATGAAACGGATGTCTGACTGAATGCTAATCCGGTTAAAGCAGAGTTGAGGGATTGACGGTGTTGATCAACAATCAGGCATGATTCGGATCAGCTTCAGCAGGCTGTGCCGCTCTACCGTGGGTTTTAACTAATTTATTTCACATTCACGGGCTATCGTTTCTCTATGTGCCGTTATTATCGCTCATATATGTGTGTTTGTGTCTGGTCTCCTCCAGCTTGCAGAGTACCGGCAGAGGAAAGCTCAATCCGATGGCCAGAAGAAGCAGAAGAAGAAGAAAAAGAAGCCAGAATCGGATTCAGAGGAGCAGGGGAGAAATGAGGGAGAGGAGACCACCGTGTTTTCCCTCTCAAAGACCCTCCGGAGTGGAGAAACCGTCACACACGACCAGACCTACACCATAGAGGTGAGCAGAGATGTTTTTGTGTATTACTCTCTCAACTAGGTTTTGTTATACACAGGACACTTAATAACTCTCAACTAGACTTGTGCCGGTATTCGGTAATGCGATATATCACGGTAATGAATATGCAGATTCGGATCAGCTTCAGCAGGCTGTGCCGCTCTACCGTGGGTTTTAACTAATTTATTTCACATTCACGGGCTATCGTTTCTCTATGTGCCGTTATTATCGCTCATATATGTGTGTTTGTGTCTGGTCTCCTCCAGCTTGCAGAGTACCGGCAGAGGAAAGCTCAATCCGATGGCCAGAAGAAGCAGAAGAAGAAGAAAAAGAAGCCAGAATCGGATTCAGAGGAGCAGGGGAGAAATGAGGGAGAGGAGACCACCGTGTTTTCCCTCTCAAAGACCCTCCGGAGTGGAGAAACCGTCACACACGACCAGACCTACACCATAGAGGTGAGCAGAGATGTTTTTGTGTATTACTTCTTGTTTATCGTTTTGTTATACACAGGACACTTAATAACTCTCAACTAGACTTGTGCCGGTATTCGGTAATGCGATATATCACGGTAATGAATATGCACGATATTGTTATCGTGGGCACTTCTAAATACCGTGAATAATTATATATTACAAATTATTCAGAATTTTGAATGCATTAAGAATACTTTTCCCATCAAATGGTCAAAATGCACAACAGCGCTGTATGCTGCGTGAAAGGGTTTTTCAAACAGAAGTTGAAAATTATATGTAATTAATAATCAACACTCCAATGGTTGTACACCAACATGTTTTTATGCATGTTTTTAAATGATGTATCTATTCTAATTCAAATTGTTGTTGGAAATATAAACATTTAAACATTTGTAACTTTATAATCATGGTAGAAGCATACTAGTCACTTGTTAATCATGCTAGCAACATGCTAGTAGCAACATATTAATCATGCTAGCGACATGCTAGTAACTTGTTAGATAATCATGGTAGAAGCATGCTAGTCACTTGCTAATCATGCTAGCAACATGCTAGTAGCAACATATTAATCATGCTAGCGACATGCTAGTAACTTGTTAATCATGCTAGTTACTTGCTAATCATGCTAGCAACATGCTAGTAACATGTTAATCATGTTAGAAAAATGCTAGCGACTTGTTAATCATGGTAGAAACATGCTAGTCATGCTAGCAGCATGCTAGTTACCTGCTAATCATGCTAGCAACATGCTAATCAGGCCAGCAAAATGGTAGCGACATGCTAGTAACTTGTTAATCATGGTAGAAACATGCTAGTAGCATGCAAATTTATGATAGCAACATGCTAGTAACATGCTAATCGGGTGCGTTTCCCAAAAGCATCGTTAGCTAACTATGGTAGTTAGTTCCATTGAAATCTATTGGTAACGACGGAACTTTTGGGAAATGCACCCTTGGCTAGAAACATGCTATTGACATGTTAGTAACTTGCTAATCATGCTAGCGACATGCTAGTCACTTGCTAGTCATGCTAGCAGCATGCTAGTTACCTGCTAATCATACTAGCAACATGCTAATCAGGCCAGCAAAATGCTAGCGACATGCTAGTAACTTGTTAATCATGGTAGAAACATGCTAGTAGCATGCAAATTTATGCCAGCAAAATGCTAGTAACAGGCCAATCATGTTAAAAACATGCTAATCATGCTAGAAACATGTTATCCACATCGATCTAATCTATCTAAATGTTCAAACTTCAGACTTTTACAACTGCTTTAATCTTTCAGGCTAGGCTTTCTCAAGCCAACCTAAAGTTTGTCTTGACGAACTTTTTTATCTAGTTATAATTGTTGTTTGAAATAGAAACATTTAAACATTTTAAATGTAAAAACTTTATTCAATCATACATTAAAGCTGCAGTCCGTAACTTTTTTGTGTTCATCATGCTAGCAACATGCTAGTAACATGTTAATCATGCTAGAAAAAGGCTAGCGACATGCTAGTAACTTGCTAATTATGGTAGAAACATGCTAGTAGCATGCAAATTTATGATAGCAACATGCTAGTAACATGCTAATCGGGTGCATTTCCCAAAAGCATCGTTAGCTAACTATGGTAGTTAGTTCCATTGAAATCTATTGATAACGACGGAACATGCGACCATAGTTGCTTTTGGGAAACGCACCCTAGGCTAGAAACATGCTAGTGACATGTTAGTAACTTGCTAATCATGCTAGCGACATGCTAGTCACTTGCTAGTCATGCTAGCAACATGCTAATCATGCCAGCAAAATGCTAGTAACAGGCCAATCATGTTAAAAACATGCTAATCATGCTAGAAACATGTTATCCACATCGATCTAATCACTATGGTAGTTAGTTCCATTGAAATCTATTGGTAACGACGGAACTTTTGGGAAATGCACCCTTGGCTAGAAACATGCTATTGACATGTTAGTAACTTGCTAATCATGCTAGCGACATGCTAGTCACTTGCTAGTCATGCTAGCAGCATGCTAGTTACCTGCTAATCATACTAGCAACATGCTAATCAGGCCAGCAAAATGCTAGCGACATGCTAGTCACTTGCTAGTCATGCTAGCAGCATGCTAGTTACCTGCTAATCATACTAGCAACATGCTAATCAGGCCAGCAAAATGCTAGCGACATGCTAGTCACTTGCTAGTCATGCTAGCAGCATGCTAGTTACCTGCTAATCATACTAGCAACATGCTAATCAGGCCAGCAAAATGCTAGCGACATGCTAGTAACTTGTTAATCATGGTAGAAACATGCTAGTAGCATGCAAATTTATGCCAGCAAAATGCTAGTAACAGGCCAATCATGTTAAAAACATGCTAATCATGCTAGAAACATGTTATCCACATCGATCTAATCTATCTAAATGTTCAAACTTCAGACTTTTACAACTGCTTTAATCTTTCAGGCTAGGCTTTCTCAAGCCAACCTAAAGTTTGTCTTGACAAACTTTTTTATCTAGTTATAATTGTTGTTTGAAATAGAAACATTTAAACATTTTAAATGTAAAAACTTTATTCAATCATACATTAAAGCTGCAGTCCGTAACTTTTTTGTGTTCAAAATTTACTAAATTTATATAAGCGACTACACCATGAATCCATTTTCCAAACCGTGTTTTTGGCTCGTCCTGAATCACTACGGTACACATATAATAAGTGCTTATATTCAGACTATTTAGACTGGTTCGGGTAGGTGCCGCTGCGGAGGAGCCCAGTACCTGCGTGATTCGCCAGAGACATAAACAGAGAGAAGTAGCTCCGGCTACAATGTTCTTCCGCAAGACGCACGCAGTTCTGTTTATTAACCGCTAGAGTGCCAAAAGTTACGGACTGCAGCTTTAAATAACGCAATAATTAACAGGTTAAGTAAAAATATAATGCATGTATAACATAGTGCATACAGTATATTTATCAAAGTACTTTTCTCTAATTTCTTTCTCTAGTTATTTTTCATGTTTTCTCTGGGTCTTAAAAAGGTCTTAAATCAGCGCAGAAAGTCTGACTTAAATTCATAAATAAATTAATATCCTCATCCGTATTTAAATGTTTCAATGCAAATATTTAAGCATCCTTAAATCGACAATTACTTCCATGCATTTACTTGAGATGTAAATGTAATTAAAATGAAGTTTTGAAAAACACAATTTAACTCGCATGTTCAATTGAAATGCACTCGGCCTGTTTGTTAAAACAAAAGCACATGTCTGTCACTGGGGAATGAAAACTTGTTTTCCCTTTGAATTAAGTTGATTTTTCTGAGCCCAGATATTTGTTTGTGATTTAATCATAAACTCACTTAATTTTGATTAATTTCTCAAAAAACAAGACGTCTTATTTTGTCATTTTGCTTCTTCAGTAAATGCATCTTGATTTAAGAATCTTTAGACATTTGCGCTGGAAAACAAGACAGAAATACTGAGGACGAGCATGATTTTTTTGCGGTGTGATCAGAAGGTACGGTAAAATGAATTTCCATTTCTAGTGCTTTGGGAGCAGAGCTAATCAAGCCTAAAGGTATTTTTATTTTTTGTAAAATGAGTTTAGAAGTAATGGTGATCTGTTGGAAGTTGTATTTTCAAACTTTTAAGTGTTGCTAATCTAGGGCTGTCAAAATGACTGAAAAACTAAATTGAATTTTCTACTTAAATTTAATCAAAATTCGAATTATATTTCAGTTAGGTTTTGGCTTCTCTCCTGAGGCCACAAGAGGGCGCATCGAGCAAAACATTATGCTTAAACAATTAGAGAAAACAACTGCACCATGCATGTATGTATAGTTTAATACAAAGTATCGAAAACCAATCACAAAGAGTAGGCAACTTTCTTCATTTAAAAACATGAGATGCAGGGGGATGGGGGAAAACCGCCATAACGTCTTTATAGACAGTTAAAAGTTGAACTTTTATTAATTTTACATGGCTTTCTAAACATGCCGCTCTTGTGCGAGACGCGAGTGCAATGCTGATAGATGTCCCTCTAGAAAATGTGATAAATATGCATTCTGTGTGAACGGCTTGAATGCTCTTGTTTTCCACAATATATGAATGAACAACATAGCAGCGCCGCATCTAGTGGGTTCAACTAACAAAAGCATTCAAATTCAATCAATGACACATACATCGTCATCGCATCTCGTGCGCCACTGATAGGCTGCCTGACGGCTGAAGCAGACCTTGAATTTGTGGAAATTCGAATGTTGATTTCAGTGTTTCCCCTGCCATTATTTTAGGGGGGCGGCCCACCCCCCCAACGGCACCCCCTGCCCCCCTTGAAGGTCAAGTTAATTTTATTTAATTATATTTTCTCTATAGCGCCAGATCACAACAGAAGTAATTTAAAGTTACCTTTCTTATAGAACATGTCTATACCTTGTTCTTTCATTAAGCAAACTAAATAGCCTTATAAAATGTGATAAATATGCATTCTGTGTGAACGGCTTGAATGCTCTTGTTTTCCACAATATATGAATGAACAACATAGCAGCGCCGCAT